ATTAGCGGCGGATTCCGTCACTAATTCCGTGGCTAAGTTTAGCAACAGAATTTTTATGGGTAATCTGTCAGAAATTAGCGACGGAAATTATTCTGTCACTAATTTCTTTGAAATTAGCTGTTTTTTTTTATAGTGGAAATTAGATAAGTTAGTTAATTATAAGAAATGTGACACATTTTTCTTAAAACACCATAATCATCTTTCTTAATACCTCTTCTTCTTCTTTTATTTGATTATGGTTGAGGGAGTATCTATAGGGGTCATTTAGAAAAAATTGATAAATATGAGAAATTTGTCTTATATTTAGAACCAAAACCAACTCAAAAATTAAGTCCTATGGCGGAGAAGTATAATTTAAGAGTATCAAAATCTGGATATGCCAATTCGTCTTGTGCAGACAAAGAGGCGATCCTACTATACACTGCTTTTTATCCTTTCACTGTGAAAGACCAACAGGTCCAAGAGCCAACAGAGTTGACAATTAAGCGTTATAATAGACACCCTCTACAAAGGCTATTACCCGGATCACACGTGTCCCAAATATTGCCATAAATTTGTAAATATTGCATGTAAATAAAACAATATTTTTTATGTGAGTACTAACAGGGTGATAGAAATTTCATTTATTGACGCTGAATTGTGATTGTCATGTTTTATGTATGGAATTGTTTCTAAGAGGAAACTAGGTTCTTTAGGTTGTGGCAAATCCCCCTCACCACTTAACATTACAGCCACAGATGCCATGTTTGGTCTATCATCAGGAAGATTTTGCACACAAAGATTAAAAAAAAAATTGCTATCAAATATAAACTTTGGTCATCATGTCATTAGCTACGTTAAGAGATTGCAATTCAAATCCTCCGTTAGTGAAGGCGACTGTTCACCCAACGTACACGAGAAGACAACTACCATTTTCCGCCTTCGTCTTTTTTTCTTCTTCTAGTGTGGCTGACAAAATAATTTACTGACAAGAAAATAATGCAGAGTAGAGAAAGGAAATAAATGGGAGGAATTTTAATATTATCATATTTAGTTTAGAAAGTGAAATTTTTTTCACATTCTTCCTTTCCGTAAGAGGAGGATCAGGAAAATCTTATTGATTGCAAATTTCTCCTTACCCATAAAAAAAGGCTGGAATGGTGCGATCTCGTTCTCACCCCAAAATGAAAATATTATATCCTTTATCATTTCATATGTTTATTCCCTCTCTTTTTATAGGAAAAAAATAAAATAGTTATACTGTCATTAATCCTTATTTTATTTTAGAAAATTCGACATTTTCATTAAACTTATTTGAAAATCACATAGTATTATTTATTATATACATATGTTATGTATATTAAAAAGGTATTAGATTATTGCATTTGAGTAGAGGTCATCGACGCCGATAAAAGACAAATGAGTTAAGTCGCGAAGGACAAAAATGAAAATATAAAAATATGATGGGTTAAATATATTTGTTGTACTATATTTTTTTAATAGGGTGAAACACAATTGAAAAAGAAATTGTTTTTATTTAAACTCAAGCATAATCCCCAAAATAAGAGAGCAGTTTAGAATCATCATCGTCTTGTATTATTGCAAATAGACAATCTTATCTTTTAAAACTATGCCCATTAGTGGCCCAAAATCAATAAGCAAAATTGACTTCACCTGGCTTCTAACAAAGTGATAGATACTTCATTCTTTGAAAGAGCTATATGATTGCTGGGAAATTCTTCCCTAACTAGAATGTGTTCTACGAGAAAATCAGGTTCTTTGGACTTAGACAAAACACCCTCACTACTCAACTTTATAACCACAGATGTCATGTTTGGCCCATGATCAGCATGGTATAGGAAGGAGTGCATGAGACTGGGTCGTGCCAAAATAGAATCAGCCATTAGTTGCAGAGGAAAAGGGAAAATAAACGTGGTTGTTAACAGCAAGCATGCCACGAAGAAACGAAGGATGAAACCCGTTTACGATTCATCTCCCAATAATGGAACAAATTAAATTCACATTGTAAAAGTTAAACTTGAATGAAAATATTAAGCTTTATTTAGTACACGCAAATAAATTATTTTTTTAATACAGAAGCAAGCATCATGCTTGAAAATAAAACAAAAGATGCAATATCAAATCACTGAACAGGACCAGAGTCATGAAGAAAACAACCTAAGTCGAGCTGAAATTGATCTATAAACAAAATGCCGGAGGCTCCCAAATAATGGACAACTTCGCATTGGCTTCATAAGCCACTCTAGTGAAGTAATCAGCGCACAGAAAAAAGATGGTCAAAGGAGAGGCTTACTGATAAGGAGGTTTATTATCTTCATCCTTCAACCTTTCCTGCTGCAAATTCTTTCTTGCTCGAGGCTCTAAGTCAGATGAAGAATCTCGAAACATTAGGACGTCACCTGCTAAAGAATGCAAACTAAGAGAATTTGCAGCAGGATGCTGAACTTTGCAACTAGGAACGCGGAGGAAGAAGAGTAGAACCCGATAATTGTAATGAAGACGGTAAAAGGCCCATTCACACAAGGCTTCTCCGTTTTCGAATTCGAGCTGGTTGGCGGAATAATAGTGGGCTCCAAAGAGTCCATTTTACCACTTTTTTCTTTTTTACTAAAATATAGGTATTCTTCTATAAGAAGTAATCATATTCAAGGTAGTGTTGGATAATAAATTTGGACATCTCTCCTAATTGGAATTCGAACTTTGGTTTGTCATATTATGAAGGATTAACTCCTTACCACTTACATCTAATGGACTCACCACATTCTTTTACCACCAGCTACTTGGCCCGTCAAACGTGCCCCAATAACAGTGGGCTCCATATAAATCAATAAAATGAGATTTGGAAACCGAAGAAGAACTGTTCCAGCGCTTTATTTTTAGTTTGGGTTAAATCAAAGCCCTGCTTCAAATTTTTGTTAAAAAAACTAATTAATTAGATTTTTGTGAGCTTGAGTTAGTTTGGGTTTTGCTTTTACGTTTTTCTTCCTTCTTTTGTACGTCAAAAAGGAGTTAGGTTAAAAGTTTCTTTAGTTAGTATTTTTACAATTGAACTGATCATTTAGCATGTCAAAATACTATTCGAAATTAATCATATACTTAGACTGGAGTTGATTGTAATCAAATGTTTGTTTTTAATGTTGATATTAAAATTTTATATTAAATAAAAAACTAATTGAATATTTATTAAGGAAAAACTTATATCAATTTATTAATATCCATATACATAGTATAAAAGTTTTGACAGGCTCAAATGATCATGAATTAATCATCAATAAAATACGCTCTTATTGTTGAAGTTGTAAGGGTTTCAAACTTTCGAGTTTCAATGGCAAATTCAATAAAGATTTTGGGACTATGTAGGAACCAAAAAAAGGAGAGGGAAATTATTACGAGAAAAGAATGTAATGATAAAAAAATTCATAAGCAAACAAATACATAATAATAAATTCTAGTATAGAAGACAATAGTAATTCCATATTCTATTTATTTATTAGGATTTTATAGTGTCTTTTAGAGGAATTTAAATATGTGATAGGAGTTTTATCTTCGCTTGCCTAAAAGTACTTTTTTAATATTTTTATATTTTCACTCGTCTTATGGTTTAATTTGATTAGTCTTCAGTCCGCACATGGGTTGTTGACGGTCAGCTTTTAAAATGAGTTTTATATATATATTATACTCTTCGGTACTTAATATAAGATTTAATTACTTAATTTGAGTATATTAAAAATGTTAATTAAATTAATTAATATGATATGTTTTTTTTCAAAACACCCAAATATCTTTTTAATTTTTCTTCCTTTCTCTCTTATTTAATTATTATTGAGGGAATATCAATAGAGTTAATTTGAAAAAAAATTAATAATTATATAACACAAGTCTTATATTTAAAATCAATATTAACTCTCTAATTATGCCTTATATTAAGCACGGAAAGAAGAGTATATATATGAAAAAAAAAAAAGTTGCTATCAAATATAAACTTCGGTCATCGTGTCATTAACTGCATTAAGAGATTGCAAATCAAATCCTCTGTTAGTGAAGGCGACTGTTCAGCCAACGTACACGAGAAGACAACTAGTCAACCACCTTTTTCCGCCTTCGTCTTTTTTTCCCTTTTAGTATGGTCGACAAAATAATTAAGTCGACAAGAGAATAATGCTACGGAGTAGGGTGGGGACGAGAAATAAATGGGAGGGATTTTAATATTATCATCTTTAGTTTAGACAATGAAAAAATTTTCACATTCTTCCTTTTCATGAGAGGAGGATCAGGAAAATCTTATTGATTGTAAATTTCTCCAGACCCATAGAAAAGGACTTGAATGGTGCGATCTCGTCCTCACCTCAAAATGAAAATATTATATCCTTTATCATTTTATACGTTTATTGCCTCTCTTTTCATAGGAAAAAATAAAATTGTTATATTGTGATTAATCCTCATTTTATTTTAGAAAATTCAACATTTTCCTTAAACTTACTTGAAAATCACATAGTATTATTCATTATATATATATTAAAAAGACCGGTCCTTAATATAAAACTCATTTAACTAATTTGATTAGATTAAAAAAGTTAAATAAGTTAGTTAATTATAAGAAAAGCAACACGTGTTTTATAAAACATCTTAATCATCTTTCTTAATATCCCCTCTCCCTCTTTTAATTGATTATAGTTGAGAGAGTATCCATAGGGGTAGAAAAAATTAATAAATATGAGAAATAGGTCTTATATTTAAGACTAAAATTAACTCAAAAATTGAATCCTATATTAAGGATCGGAGGAGTATTAGATTATTGCATTTGAGTAGAGGTCATCGATGCAGCTAGGGGACAGTTGAGAATACAAGTGAACTATGTCGCAAAGGACAAAAATGAAAATATCAAAAAAATGTTGGGGTAAATATATATGCTGGGGTAAATATGTCTGTTGGAATTGTTTTTTTTTATTGGGCGAAACACAATTGAAAAAGAAATTGTTTTCATTTGAACTCAAGCATAATTCCCAAAATAAGAGAGCAGTTTAGAATCAGCATCGTCTTGCATTATTGCAAATAGACAACCTTATCTTTTAAAACTATGCCCATTAATGGACCAAAATCAATAAGCAAAATTGACTTCACCTCGCTTCTAACAAAGTGAGAGATACTTCATTATTTGAAAGAGCTGTATGATTGTTAGGAGATGCTTCCCTAACTGGAACGTGTTCTAAGAGAAAACCAGGTTCTTTGGGCTCAGGCAAGACACCCTCACTACTCAACATGATAACCACAGATGACATGTTTGGCCTGTCATCAGCATGGCATTGCAAACAAAGAAGACCGATGTGGATGCATCGCAATACTTCTAATTTAACGCAAGACTTCTCCAAACATTCATCGGCAAAATTTAGTGGGATTCCCTGCTTCCACAACCTCCATGCCTACAACAATTCAAAACATTGAATTAGTTACCAATTTCAGTAAAGAAAATAGAAAAGTTAGGCTCATTGGTACTAACATGTCCGATAAGATTAACGCTTTGACTTGGCAAAACGGGCCCCCTGTTTTTCATGCCGCTCACTATTTCTAACAACAATACTCCAAAACTGAACACATCGGATTTGACGGAGAATTGCCCATGAATGGCATATTCAGGAGCCATATAACCACTATTATACATTATAAAGAAATTATTATCATATCCAATTAATGTGCATATATTCTAAGTAAAAATATCATAAAACACACTTACTATGTACCAACTATTTTTCTTGTGTTATCTTCAATTTGATCTCCTCCAAATATTCTTGCCAAACCAAAATCTGATATTTTTGGATTTAATTTACTATCCAATAATATATTGCTTGCTTTGAGGTCTCTATGGATGATTTTTAATCTGGAATCTTGATGAAGATACATAAGTCCCCGAGCAATTCCGTGGATAATGTGAAAACGCTTAGACCAATCAAGATGTTTACTTTCAGAACCTACAAATTTTTTAATGTAATGATACTCATCATTACCCAGGGAGAAATAAAAGAAAAGGATATAAGTCAGCCAATTGATAGTTCTTTAGCCATACAAACCAAAAATAAATGAATCTAAGCTCTTGTTGGGCATATATTCATATATGAGCATTTTCTCTTCTCCTTGAATGCAACAACCAAGAACCTTGACAAGATTACGGTGCTGAAGTTTGGCACACAATTTGACTTCATTCTTAAACTCATGCAGACCTTGGCAAGAACTTTGTGAAAGCCGTTTGACCGCAATCTCTTGTCCGTCTACCAGTATACCCTGCCATTTTTACCTCATATAAACGATTCTGAATATGTAACATCATAAATAAGCAAGAATAATTGTAAACTTTCACTCTTAATAAAAGTTGATTGCATACTTACCTTGTATACAGGACCAAAACCACCTTGGCCAAGCTTGTTGTCTGATGAGAAGTTATTAGTAGCATTAGCTATTACTGCAAGGTCATAGATGCGTTGCTCCACATTTCCTTCATAATCTTCTTCATTGTTTATTGCTATCAAGGTTTTTAGCTCCATATTTCCGTCAGATCCTTCTTCATTGTTTGCTGTTAGCAAGGTTTTCTTTGTTCAATTTTGTACATTAAATGTAATATATAAATAAAAAACAACTACAGGTAGCATTGGCTATAATTTATATGTAGCTCCATATTTCCTTAGGAGCCTTTGTCGTTGTTACTTGGTACACTTCCCTAAACTGGGTGAGAAAAATAGTCAAAGAAAAAAACAAGGAAGGGAAATCGTTCCTTTCGTTGGGAAACAAATCGGCACAAGCTCAACCATGTTCAATTATACTCCAAGTATCACAAGAAGATGGGAAAAGTGGGAGAAAAGTGAAGGCGATTGCAAGGGGAATGCTTACCTATAGAGTTTCTTCTGCGCTTGTAAATGTAGAACAAAGTGAAAAGCATCATAATAGCCAATACAGTAGTTATTGGCACAGTAATCACCATTGTCTTATTTCCATTAGCTTCATCCTGTTCAGCTTCACAGCAAAATGAAGTAAGAGTTAACAGACAAAAAGTTGAGGTCGTTAAAGGAACCAAGAGATGATTGAAAACTGATCACTAAAAGGCCTCACCTGTTTCTGGAGAGGCAAGGCGAATATATAAATCCTGGTCACCAAAGGAATTCTGCCTTATATCAATCAAATCACCGAACCACATAGCACAACCACTTCCTCCTCCCCTGACATCTAAATTAGCATAAGCATTGCAAGAACAATTTTCCCAGCATTTGGCTTTGCATTCCACAAGTGTCATACTTGCATTGACCCAAGAATATTTAGTATCTGGCAATTTGAACCCACTAAATTTGACAAAATAATCCCTGTTTTTGTCCTTGCAACTCCATGATCTATTGCGGACACATCCTTGAGACCAGTCCATTGCATTCCATTTCTTGGGTGATTTTGCAAAAAAGCCTGTCAAGCACTGACAAATTGGTGTCTCGCCCTCAACGCAGTTTCCATTCGGGCCACAACGGCTATATCTATCGCAGTTATCAATTGGTATATAACTGAAAATAGTCCACCTTTGATCTTCTTCAATCCACATCATGTCCAGCACTGAGTATAATGTCTGGTTCAAGACAACTCTTGTAATCAGTGACTCATTTTTCATGTTATAAGCTGAATAAACCTCATCTTTATTCCATACAAACTTTACTTCATAAAGTGGGTTGCTCGTCGCATGACAAAGGCCACTGAACCGGACACCATTCCAAGGACCGCTCCTTGCATACTCTGTTGTGCCCTGCCAAGCTACTTCTTCAGGATGATTGTGTAGTACAAGTTCATATGAAAGGCCTCCAAAGGAAGGGTCATCCCAATTCTTCCATGCTGTAAAACGTCGGTTAAGACCTGTTCTCAGATCCCATCCAAACTTCATTCCTGGCAAATATGTATCAGAAGGATAGTCGAAGCTTTGCCACAAGTAGTTTTGGAGCTTTCGATCTTTCCCATCTCTTAGAACCAAGTTTCCCGAGCCTAAAAGCTGCACAATTGGACTCGAGGCCTTTGTGGTGGAATTTCCTGACCAAACAACTATCTCATTTTGGCCAAGAAGCACAAGGTGTCCCTCTGTGTTTATTCTCAACATGCCAAAGTTGTTTTTGATGGGTCTGCCACGGTTGGCAACCCAAACAACAGTTCGACCTGGAATTTTGCGGTACCAGATTCCAACATAGCGGTCTGTGGAACTATCAGGGCTGAAGAAACCCAATTCAAAGATTTCATTTTCAGAAACCAAGGTCTGGCCGTCAGGAAGAGACTCGGACTGGGGGAGGGTATCAGTTGCAAAAGAAAATCTGGAGAAGAACAAAAGCAGATTTGGAAGAAGAAGCAAATAAGGAAGGATAGCCATTGATTTAATAAATTGGTCTACAACATGAAAAATATATGCAACCGTTATCGGGATCTGGCACAAGTTGAAAGGGCAGCCCACTAGTAGGCAGAAGTGTGCATGTTGCCTTGGTGCTCTTGCAGTGCGAAAAAACTGTTCTCTTTCCTGCACGGCTTAAACGCAAGCACAAGATAATGACTCTCTGACATCGTATTCAGAATTCCGAACCCAAAGTCAGGGAAAGGAAGGATCAGGCCTTTCATTCTAAATTTTTATTGTTTTTTAGCAATGGATTCAACATAATTGATTTCTCTTTTTCGATAATAACATAATTGATTTCTTCAATCAGGTTGTGCTCTGCTTCTCTTTACGTCAATGAAATTATCGTTTTTTTATATTAAAATATTATACTAAAAAAAAAAAGATATGGTTATTATTTCCTAAAGAAAAACTAATTGACAATCTATTAATAGATATATAGTATACAAATTTTGACGGGATCAAATGATCATGAATTAGTCATCAATAAAACACTCTTATCGTTGAAGTTGCAAGGATTTCAAGGGTTTCAATGTTTCAATGGCAAATTCAATAAGATTTTGCTACCTACATTCCTTTTTGGGACCATGTAACAGCAAAAGAAAGAGGGAGAATTATTACAAGAAAAAAAAATGTAATTGTCAAAAAAAAGTTTCACAAGTAAACAAACATATACTAGTGTATTTTGATATAGAAAACAATGATAATTCCGTATTACATTTATTTATTTATTAGGATTTCATAATTCTTCTGAAAAATGATTCAATTATGTTAGAGTAATTTTATTTTAATTTGCAGGGAAGTACTTTTCTTAAATGTTTTTGAGTTTACCAAACTCCTCCTAAATAAATTAATGGTCTTATTAAAAAATAATAACTTGGCCTTATTGTTTAATTTGAATAGTGTCGACGCATGTGTTCTTGATGGTCAGCCTTCAAAATGAGTTATATATATCATATATACAAGATAATAATCGCTACCAAATATATAAACTTTAGTCATCATGTCATTAACGACATTAAATGTTTGTTTGGATTTGTTTAAACACGTTTTATATAAATTGAGATAAATTTTTCTTACATACTTACCTCATACACTGTAAATTATAATTAAAAAAATATTTAAAAATTATTTCAAACGGGTCCTGAAAAACTGCAATTCAAATTCTCCGTTAGTGAAAGGAATTGTTCACCTAATTTACACGAAGAGACAACTATTTGCCACCTTTCTTATTTTTTTCCAGCGTGGTTGACAGAATAGCTTAGCAACAAGAAAATAATGCAGCGCAGGGGAAGGGGACAAAAAGGGGAAGGATTTTAATATTACTGCTCTAATCTTATTTATAAAACACTTTCAGCATATTTCAAATAAACCAAGAAAAATCTTAAAATATATTAATTCTTCATTAAAATATAACAACTTTTTAACTTTACTTCTATTTAATATATTCATCTTTAAAAAAATAATTATCTACACTATACTAAATGAAGGACAAAATGGTATATTCATATTAAAAATTTAATAAAGTGACTTATAAATAGGACTAGAAAAGTATTATGCTTGGTTTAAAAAATAACAGAATTTCACATTTGCCTTTTAAAAAGAGAGGATTGGAAAATTTTGATTGATTGCAATTTTTCCAAAATGGAATTAGTATGTCCTTGATCATTTTTATATTGTTTATCCTTCTCTTTTCATAGAAAAAAATAAAATAGTTATATAGTTGTTAATCTTTATTTTATTTTAGGAAATTCAACGTTTTCATTAAATTTACTTAAAAATAACATATTATTTATTTTATATACATACGTATTAAAAAATGTATTAGATTATTGCATTTGAGTAGAGTTGATGGAGGCAGCTGGACGACTGCGCTGGAAATGCAAGTGAACTATGTTGCGAGGGAAAAAAATGAAAATATATATAAAAAAAAAGTGCAAGTTTATTCTTGGCCCTTTTATGTAGTGTGTGTGTGTGTGTGTGTGTGTGTGTTGGGGGTTAAATAAGTCATATTTTATAAAAGTATAAGGACGAATTACCATTCCCTTGATGAATTGACCTTCTAAATGAAAATCAAACAGCCCAAGCAGGTCGACTTGGTGATCCTCAAGTTCGAATGCCGTATTCTTTACCGCTACGACGGGAGACTTTTCAATTTAGGAATAAGGTAAGATAGTGATGACATATTTGGAATTCAAAACAAAAACAAAAACTTTATTTTATATTTATCTGCCAATTACAAAAAGAAAGATTGGCCAAAATTCTTATAATACGATCAAGAGGAGAAAGATTCAGACGCTTTTTTCCCTCTTTTCTTTTAAAAA